ATGTTTAAACGTTTTACTGCAAATGTCACAGGCGTAGGGGCGTTCTCCTGTGTGCGTGCGCAGATGTTCCACTAAGGTGCTACGAAATCGGAACGTACTCGAGCACAGAGAACAACCGTGGGGCTTTTCACTACTGTGCGTTTTCATATGTTTGCGCAACGAACTCTTCTCGGTGAACGATTTTCCACAAATATGACACGTGTGGGGTTTTTCCCCTGTGTGAATCCGAGTGTGATTCAACAGATTCCATGATCCGGTCAACATTTTGCCACATATATCACATTGACTGAGTTTTTTACCGCTGTGGAGCTCAATATGTTTTTCCATATAATTCTTACTGGTGAATGCCTTAGAACAGATGGTGCACGAGAACGGTTTGTCCCCACTGTGGGTCTTAACGTGTTTCTTCAACGCATACACATTGAAAAAAGCTCGGTCACACGCGTCACATTTATGAGGTCGTATCCCACCATGGCTCAACATGTGATGTTCATGATGGATACGGGTTTTTAGAATTTTGTCGCAGATTTTGCACTGAAAGTTTTTATCAACCACATGCTGTTTCTTGTGCATCCTATATTCAACAGCATCGCTAATTATGACATCACAAATATCACAAGTAAATTGTTGATCTTTATCATGATGCTGTTTTTCGTGTATGAGGTACTTCGAATGATTTTTAAATGATTTTGCACAGATTGAACACGGGTAAGTTTCGCCACCATTTTCGACGATGGCGTCACCTGTAAAATTTGAAAATATGTTTCTATTTGTTTTTCTCTTTGATGTCTTCGTTTTGAAGTTGGTTCCTGAATTGATTTTTCCTCTTGACTTAATGTCAGTAATATCCCCTTCAGAAAGTCCAGAATTAAGATTTTCCTCTCTTTGCAATGCTTCATTTTGTACATGCACATCCATGCGCTTACTGACAACGTTTTCACTAGCGGTGTCCGAATCGCAAATATCTGCATAACTATCCACATTGTCGACAAACCCCGTTTGAGCGGGTTTAAACAACGTACCGTTATTAACCTTCACTTCACGTATCAATGATACTTTATCCCAAGTGGTTTTCTTGGAAATAAGTTCACTGATATCTTTAGAATGAATCTCGATGGCTATTTCAATAACTAATTCAGCACTTGAAGTTCCCACAGGAAACACCTTTAGGAAATTTCTTACATCATCGTCAATTTTATTCATTTTAATGTTTAAAAACCGACAAGTGAAATTAATTTGGCTAATTGTGGTATCTAGGCGTGGGGCGGGCGGGGGCTGGGGGTTGCTTACCCTTTCATGAACACATTAACAAATGATTTTAATCTAAAACTATCTAAAACACACATTGAATGGCATTGTCATTCCTGGGTAACTCCATACAACAAAGTGGTCTCGTTCGATTAAATGGCATCAAGCAAGGACTAATCTAGGACTGTCGATTGCTCCTAGTAGGTTGGAAAATCTTGATTAATGACATAGAAAGCTCCGACACCTCTCCATAATTCTATAAATAATACAGAAATAATTTACCATATGCCATTTATGGTGCGATTTTGCTTCATCGTCCACAAATTTTGTGCAGAAACCACTATTCGATTGGTGATTAATATTTGACGGAAGGACAGTTTGTTATATATTTACGCCATGTCACACTTTACAGCATAAATACACCAATACATCTCCATTTGATATCTTTTCGTTACCTTTGTTTACATTTTTGGTCCAAACGACGCCATGTTGTTTACAATATTTTACGGATTGACTACGAGACAGCGGATAGCAAATCTATATACGGGAGATAACTACATTTTACAACAAAAATATAGGACACAGCTCACCAAATATTTCTACGCGAAAGTTATTTTTAGTCTTCCTCTCCCTTTCCCTTTTCCCCCTTTTGCATGGCGATTTTTGTTGCCTTTTTGGTGTAGAATCGAAAAAAGGGGTTTGAAAATACATTTTCTGCCAGGTTTTGGTGAATATTCATGATTTTGAGGCGGAAGGATACAAGAGTTGAGAGGTTGGTTAGGTTGAAATGTAGGGTCCAAAATTGCATGTTTTATTGTCTCTACTTCCAGCTTGTGTATCTCAAGCTTTCCATTGGGAACCTCATACGTGCTTTTGGGCATGAGGATGCCACATGTTGCTCCATCTGTGGTAGAAAGCGTTCTACCCAACGAAAATTTGGGAAAAAGTTAGAGCCGGTCTAAGAGACGAGAAATAACATTAAAGTCAATGGGCAAATCTTTAGTGATCTGTGGCCAAAAACTTGATGACGACTACACACATCCATCTCTCAACGCAGCCTTCAAATCTTATTAACATAATTTTTTGTTCTTTTGTTTTATTTTTTGCATTTTATAATTATCGAACTAATAATTTTCGGCTACATTTATTATGTGTTACGAATGTGCCATATTCTCAGTTGTATAGTATAAACAGTCACTGATCTATTTATAGAAAGAGGCTGTCCTGGAGGTCGTGGATGTTGGCCGAGATAGTTCATCGGGATTTTTCGGCGTGGTTTCCCCTTGGAAGTGGTGTAGAACGAAGGGTCTGACAAGGACAGCTGTCTAGTTGTTCGGATGTGCACGTAAAAGACCCCTTCGCAGTTGGAATACGATATAAGAGTATGCCGTAGCGCCGCTGTACGGGCAAAATATCCCTCATAGCACAATGTATGGCGTATGTCCGTTCTCATTAGCCCAGTCTGAGCAGAGCAGTAGGACGTTAAACCCCATACATTATTATGAAGGCGGCCAGTTCATCCATTCTGGATATATGTTAGATCTTCTGTAGTATAGAAAATCAGGATCATAAAAAAAGAAATAAAGATATGATTTTAATTAACTTACTGAGGTTTATTTCCAATCTCCCCCACCCCCAATGACATTTTCAATTTTACATCATTTTCAAAGAAAATTGGGTTTGGCCAAAATTCCACTTCAGCTCACAGACTTTGTTACTGTGTTGTCTAATTCCCGCCCTGATCTGCCAATTTTAAACGCACATACAATCGGCTGTCCTCGATAAATTCCGGTGATTTCAGACTTGTTTGAAATTTATCCTGGGACATGCATCAAGTGGAGGCTGATCATCAATAAATTTCACCATCTTATAGTCTAGAACAAAAGGCCCATGAATCTGAACTACAACCCTTTTTTAAAAAACAGCACATAACTTTAAAGGGTCATCATTATTTCAGTTATTATTCTATTTTGATTTCGTATTATAAACATGTTGCTAGAATAAAGTGAAGATACGAATAAAAGGGAAACTACGAATAAAGAATATAGGAGACAGACCGCCATTAAATTTATTTCACCATTGTACTTCTTCTATTTATAGCAATTCCCCCTCTCCCTCTCTTTCTCCCCCCCCCCCCGTTTTTATTGACTTTTTGGTCTAGAATGGAAAATAGGGCTTTGATTAACATTTTCTGTCAGGTTTTGGTAAATATATATGATTAAGGCGGAAGGATAACATAGTTTTCTTATAATAACTGAAATCTTGCAATTCTCTCCTCGAGAAAGACAAATCTATGCGTTTGAAGCGATATTTCTCTGCCTTCATTCCATAAAGACCAGCTCATCCATCCCATCCCTTTTGTTAAACATGCATTATGCAAGAGCTACATCTGCCTATTGCAGGTCTTTCTTTAGCCCTGAAATGTTTTCTAAAGTATTAATTAGACATTAATTAACTGATCCAGGCCTTAATCAACTCTCGATGACATCAGATTTCTCCGAATTAAATAGATTAGAATGGTTCAGCGATACTTTGATTTAATCAAATATGGAGGACCGAGACTTAGCTTCGATCAACCAGTACGGTGGTTGAAATTATTGCACACGCCTGTCAAACCTTCAAAGGCTAATATCTTCGCTTGCAATAGAGTAATTTGAATGAAATTTTCAAATTATTCATTTTACATCATCTACTTTCGAACTATTATAGCAAGAATGGCTAGTTCTTTATCTAAATCTTACATAATGTATCTTTAACAAGATATTTGGAGATTTAATTGAACCTATATTGACCCCATATTCTTAAATCAATGGTCCAAGAAATCCCCCTCTGGCCATTGCTAGATTGGCTTCTGATACTTGAGTATTGAGGGAGTGTGTCTATTCTTCCCATTTCATCAAATCTATCCCAAGTACAGCAACATGACAGCCCGTCGTTTAATCTGGGGTCTTCCCTAAAACTGTGGACAGTGATTTAAGGTATTAAAAACGGTGAAAGTATTGATCTTCTCCAAACAGTATTGTTTACATCGTACTCGTTTTGATAGACTCGTTTGTCACGCAATTAGTTTTTCTGCAATTTTCTGCACTGGCTAATTGGGCATTAAAAATCGTGAGTCATGACGTAACGTTATGTAAACATATTTGGTCCAATTTGGAGCTCTGTTTGATATTATTACGCAGTTAGCTATTGGTTGTTAATCGGACTAGTGACCAGTCATAATTTGGAACAGAAATTTGCTTTATTTAAAGCAGTGTTAAAGGGACTATCCCGATTTCAAGAGAGTCTCAAAAATAAAAGTCGGAGTACGTATGAAATCTAAGCGCCAAAATATAGAGGAATGGTGTATTTACCTTCTCGCAAAATTCCAGCTCAAAATATTGAGTCGTTTGGACGTGAACGTCAAAACTGCTTATCCGGACACGTAACCCTTTTAAGATTTCGGGTCAGCTTTTTCGTTGGGTGACCCGATAATCGATTCCCGTTCCTTGAGAGGTCTATATAGTGAATGGCCCATGTGCTCTACTTGATAACGAAAGGTAAATTTCACCTACACATCATTTTTATAAAATAAAAGTCTGGTTTTATCCAGACACCGCATAATACCGCTTGAGACACCGCACTGCATTTCCGGATGAAGACTGGCGGTTTTAAGTTGTTTGAAAACTTATCACAAATATTGAGTTAGATGCTCGGCCCTTAGTTAGAGGATTTTAAGGGATTTTAACACAAAATTAAGCAGTTTTATTCTCCAAAAAATATCGGGATTAGCCCTTTAAGTGTAATTATGTATAATCAAACGAAACACTGCGAGGAGTATGTATTGACCCTAGGTTAGCAGTAAGTATAACTGGGAATTGTATAGTGCACCACGAAATAGTTACTTTTCAGATTTTAAAGATTTCTGAGACAGTTTTGGTTATGGCCATACATAGAATCCTATGATATTTTTTCCCAAATGAATCAACACCTCAAAATGGATATGTGTTTTTGCAGCTTGGTATTCTACATTTTGGATGTAAGTCTATTATTTGTGGTTATTTTTTAATATGTGACACTTACCGAGCAATAAAACATTAAAGATACATTTTATAAGATTTAGATAAAGAGCCGGTCGTTCGTGCTATAATAGTTCAAATATAAATAATGAAAATTTACGACTGTTTTAAGATGTAGCGTAGATCGTTTATTATCGTAGCAACAGTACTTGACAACCAAGACTGCCCCGATTATCCACTTGACAAGAAGTAGGGTCGGCTGTCCAACCTCGTGGGTTTTCTATGGGCCCTCTGGTTTCCTCCCAATGCTAAAGACCCATACGCGCAAGCAAATTATTGAAATAAACTCTCTCTCTCGCTCTCTCTCCCATTAGAAACAAAACGACGAACATGTATTTGCAATATTGACACACATGATTCTAGCTCTAGGCGTTAATAGAGCCTGGCATTTATAGTGTGTCACGGTATAACCCTCCGTTAATTCAGACTTCCATCATACATTGTAAGCTATGAATGAACACAACCCATGTTTCTGGTTTTTAAATGTGATTTAAAGACAGCTTTGAGAAACAACAAACAATTATGTCAGAAGAAACCAACAGTTCTAAATTGTGTAAATCAACACATCTCCTCGTGAATCATTACGTTCAGCTTTGATTCAGTTTACGACATTACAATTTGGCTATGGGTTTCTTTGGAACCGGTGGTTTAACTGCGATTGATGGTTTAGTTTGTGGGCACGGTTTGGGTGGTTTTATTGGTTTCGAAGGTTGGGTGGGCCTTGTTGGTTTAGAAGGTTTATCCGTCGCTTTAGGTTTTTTATTTACTACTGCATAAACGTCATTAGGATTTGAACTTTGACCCACGGAAAATTTGTGGACTGTAGACTGGTGGTTGGGTTTGTCACGTTGATCATTTGACTTTTCACTCTTTGGAAGTGAATCAACACTAACATACATAGGATTCTCGAGGATGATCATATCATCCGGTATCCGGGTTCCTTTCTGCCCAGTACCGTTACTGTTAGTTGTGGTGGACGTGTTGGGAACTGAATCAATACTAATATGTAGATCGTTCTCAAGAATGATCATATCGTCCGGTTTCTTATCTGTATCGTTATTACTGGCGTTAATTTGTGTATGTTTTGCATCCTCCCTATCCGTGATAGATTCGTCGGGATGACAGTTCTCATAACTAGAGTCTCCAGTTCGTCTAGCAGATGGTTTGTTATGCTGTTTATTCTTTCTTCTTTTCAGTAAACTAAAACAAAGATACGGGTTTAATAGATTCGTTACACGAAATCTAAAGCTATACAAGACATTTAACAGTTTGCCTTAAATGTTATCTAAATTATTAATTAGACATTAATTAACTATCAGGACCATAATCAACTCTCGATGTCATCGCAAGCCTACGATATTTACTGGATTTGAATCCGATTTTCTGTTCAACACTCCATCCAAAAATGGATAATCGAGACTATGTTTTTATTATACCGACTTTAGTAATGATGATCGAGACTAGGCCTAAAATTCAATCGCTAAAATCTCGGTTCAGAGTGGATCAATTTGACTGACATTTTAGCAAATTCCCTTTACAATATGTAGTTCCTTATAATTATTATAGTGAGAATTGCGAGCTCTTTATCTAATCTCCCATAATGCTCCTTTAAAAAATACCCCTCAAATGAATGGCCAATTCCTTAACGATAGTAAAATCATAAATCACAGATTTATTTAAAATAAATTGGTTATTTAACGGTCTACTGTTCGACTCCGACTGGGCTAATGACAACGGACACAGATTTATAATTACGAAGGATGTCGAAACTTACCAAACAACTACTACAATGATCACAATAACTAACAGACAAACCCCACCGGCAGCTCCACCAATTAAAGCAGCATCTACAAATAGACCATTTGTTAAAATAAACAATCTATAACATGCTAAATAGCTAATCGTTAAATTGAAACTAGGATAAAATCGACCAAATCCTCTTTCTACTATTGTATCATGTGTTACACTTTAACAAAAGTTGACGAAATTAAGCTACTCTGTATGGTTAATACTTGGAAACTTTCCACTGAATTGTCGCTTACGTTTAGCATTCCAATATTTAAACTACACCACGTACATCGTTGTCAAGTGATATTATTTCTTTATAATTAACTGCTAATACCAATGTGCAAGGGCGGATAGAGAAATTTTGAAAAGGGGTAGGGGTGCAAACAAGTTTGTTGCCAAGAGAAACGAGGCAAAATCATTTTGTGCCTTCTCTTACCATTTACAAGAAAAACAACAGTGAGTCAATTTGTTTCATTTATAAACAGTTTTTGGACATTATTTCCCACATTATGAACATATCTTTTCCAATTCGCAACACTGAATTCAGTACTGGGAGCAGTTAACTTATTAACTGGTTAACGTATACATTAGATTAGAGCGTTAACACTCTGTGACGTCATATAGGCATATTCAGCTGGTAAATAGTTATACAGACTAGTGACAGGGCCTTTATTCATGCCATATATCATTCAGAGACCACATTGCCACTGTCGCTTTAGTTACGTCTGCCGGATTGCACATCTCCGGTCGAAATAACTTGGTCCCCAGTCTCCCATTAGGATTCCAGGTTTAAGGTTTAAAAACATTTACCCGTCCAAATACCCCCTAAACCCTAGACGCGGAGTCCAGAATGAAAAAATAATGATTAAGAATATTTGTTTTTACTCTCTGAAATGGATTGAATACGAAAATGGCCATGTTTTAGGAGCTTTAATAATTAACTCATATTAACTCGTTAACATAAAATTTTTAACGCGTTAACCAGTTAAAGGAAATTTTATCTCGCTCTCAGCCCTGACTGAATTACAGTAATGGGTGGAATGGGTAGGCGTAGGCGTATTAAACATGGTCGTTGCATTTATGTTAAAACAGATCAGTCATAATTTGTACATATTTGCTAATTTACAGCTCTATTCTCAGTTATCTTGCATTCGTTACTATATAAATTAATGTATGTGTTTCTCACCTATGTTTGATTTAAATAGACATGGACCATTCATTGCTGAAATAAAAATATTTTTGTTCATTTAATGTGGTTTTTGAACTGCACCGACGTGAGTTTATCAAAGAATTCGCTTTTAAAAACCCGAAACATATGGTGATTACTACAAACCATTTAGACTGATAAATAAAAATAAACCGTTATTGTTGCTGTAATATCCAAGTACCCTGGTAGCAAAAGGCGAGACAGTCTAAGGACACAGAATATGTTTAACATAATTAAATTGTTCATGATATCTGGGACCGAGCTACTGTTTCCTACAATATGGAACTTTCAACAATAATACGTCCCAATAACATATTATAATGCTCAGCAACACAATACATTACGGTTTGCTCTTTTACAAGTCAACATTTTCTTTTACGGGCATTAGGAAGTAAGGGCGAGTCCAGTAGATTGGACGTATCGGGGAATTATGACATCCTGAACAAATATGGACGAACAGCAGATGGATATTGTTTTCTCCTCTCGAGCGGTAAGCTAATTAAATCCCACACCCACAAAAGAACCGCATACCATAGAACTTTAATATGTTATTAAGTTCCTTTCCTGTGTGTTTCCGATAGATTCTTTTAGTAATTATTGGCGATTTTTAAAAGTTACATGTTGGACGAAATGAAAATATAAACTTACCTTCTGTTAAGGGCAGAAATTCGATTATAAATATTAACAAAATAGGCGCCATGGCGTTTAATGTAAATTAGTTGTAATTAAATTCTGAACAACTTTCACAGCGAACTTATATGCAATCTTTTAAAGCACATATCAACTATAAAGCATAGTAAAGCATATATTCCATCGTGTTTTGACCACTGTCTTATATAATTGGATCTGTTTTTATTATATACACGTACGTCTTCGGGGATATGAAATTTGCGCAATGGCCACCTGTATAGTTATAAGTTAACATAAAATAATTACACCGAATCTCTCACATGAATACGTCATATATACACGTACGTCTTCGGAAATATGAATTCTGCGCATTTGGCACTTGTATAGTTATAAGTTAACATAAAATAATCACACCAAAGCTCTCTCATCTATACGTCATCATACAGGTCGTATCAAACTCTTCATAAAATTCACCCTCTATATAATCTAATACTCAATAAATGTCCGAAATCATCATTTATGTTATCTTTCATATAAAAGCTATCGAATAACGTTTACACCACAGCAAATGCCAGTTTAAAGGCGTAATATTCATACCTATCTTGTATATTTTACAAGTCCTATATACAGTATCATTCACATAACAGACACATTGTCAAACTCTGTATAATCTTATACTCAATAACTGTTCGAAGTCTTTGTTCTTTCACATTACAAGAATTATTCAATAACGTTCAACCGCGGCCAAATTTTAGTTTAACAAAATAACAACACGCATATTACCGACTTTATCTGAATTCAAGATAATCAACACTGACCTATATATAAAGGAATACATGATCAGAATAGACCCCATTATAAACTAAACTGTATATTCATTCAATTCAAAAGCTTGTATTTGAATGCAGTTGAACATAATGGGTATTATTATATACCGAAGTGTTTTGTTAAAATTGTGTATAAAAGGTATATAGATATAGAACAAGAAGTATTTTGCTGTGACTCGGCCAGGTTTTATGATTTCGTTTACGTCTCCGATAGGACCTACAGTTACAATTTAGAACAATAGTTTTAACGGGCAAGATAGTCCTATTATGGTCAAGACAGACTCTATTAATTCAAAAATTTTATTACCTAAAATAAATATGTTGTAACAAATACAAACAATAATAATTTATCCGTTCCATTATTTCAAATAATATCTAAATTTGCAAAACACACTGAAGACGTGACTTCGGATAAACGAATATCTTTGTTTGTATTCGCAAAATAGGGATATCTAATTCCTTTTATCTGTACTTTAAATATTTTGGTATTGATTGATTCCCAGTGGAGCATGGCAAACTTTTAGTTTCACCAGTATTTGTCTCGCGTCTTATGAATTTTACGATTTGGAAAAGATGAGATGTTCTTCGTGATGCGACTATGTCAAGCGTTAAAATTTTTAGTTTTTTGCTGTGAGTGAACATTGACTGCGTTTCAAAAATAGAGGCCACTATGAACATTGATTACATTTTGTATATAGAGTTTACTGTACCATATGGCTATATATTTGTTTTTGCAAAGTGGAGCCTAGAATCAGTCAGGTGATCCTTGCGTTTTTAGTTAGAGCTGATTGAACAGTTAGGACCAGTCAGTTGCTGATGTCACTTTTGCGAAGCATCGACCCTCCTGTTCCACCCCTCGACCTCCAGGATTCCTATGTGGTGAGCTTTGTTCTCTCGTCGGTTGTTTGCATTTGTTACCACCTGCACCAGTGTGGGGGTGCGAATGGTCGACGCGTGTACGTAAAATTACAAGGTATGTCGTTGAGTCAAGTGGCGTGGTTTCGATTCCGAGCTTGTACGTGACAAGTATAGGATCGTCTGTCTCTGGATTTTGTTTTCGCCTGTGGTGGGGGTAGGGGGCGGGGCTAATGGTTACTGCGTGGACGTGAAATTACAATAAGGCCTATCATTGAGTCAAGTGGCGTGGTTTGGATTTTCCGCTTGTTCGTGACAAGGAGTAGGATCGCCTGGCTCTCCGGTTCCTTCCCACTGCTAAAGACCCCTACGTGCGAGTGATCCATAGAAATAGAATTTAACCATATGTCAGTTTCTATCTCTCACCTCCCCCCCCCCCACACACACACACGCGCACCAATCCGTATAAATAATCGATATAAGATTTCCACACGATTTATTATAATACAGATCATTTAAACAAAAGACTTTTTTTTATTACATTGGGTAGCCTATTTAAAAGCACAACCCATTTGGCAATATATATACGTTATGCACAATGACAAGACTTGTAAAATCAAATATTATATATTCTTAATAGTAGCCTTATGAGTTGAAATAAAACGTAAACAACACGACTATTTTATTATAATATAACGGGTTATTATACGAGATGTATTATTATACAAGCCATTTAAACCATAAGTTGTTTATTTAAAAGCATATTGTCAGCACTGATAATAATACAATATATCTCACGTATAAAGCGTTTATTACCATGCATCGCATTTTGGATCAACAGGGTGTACATGTTCGTAGACGAGGGTGACTAATCGACCAAAGATATTTTGCTAGAGGTCCTAATTGATCTGGCATTTTGATTCCTACAGACAAGTCACATACGCTCACACCCTGCAGGGACCGAACCCGGAACTACAATCCCGAGATAGCTGCCCAGCTATAGCTTAACACGCGACAATCCCTCCCACATCCCAAGAATCAACAACTATAAAATACGATAGAAAGGTATTATAATAATACAAACTCTTGTCTTTTTATATACACCCGTTGGTCATATGCAGCACAGTGAGTCCTAAACGATTTTAAAGTCGCCATCGTAATAAAACGTTAACATGATGTGGTAAAGTTCGGACATATAGCTCATAATCTAAATCTTAGAACTATTTATTCCTAATTAGGATAATGTATTTTGTTACTCCCGATAGAAAGACAATTCCATTTGACGAATGGCACAGGACGATTTACAGAAGGTAATCATGACCTGCTAGAAAGGTCCACTTCATGTGTCATGTGGGAAAGCATCAGGGGAATAACTCTTCACAAAAATAACCTGATATTATCAATAGTCATAACTATATCTGAATATGCTATATAATAATATCTTTGTTTGTTACATTCAAGTTTTAGGTTTTGATGCCATAGGCGTTTCAACAGCATTTGCTGGTTTAGAAAGTTTGGTTGGTTTAGAAGGTTAATCCATAACTTTAGGCTTTTTGTTTACCACGGCGTTAACGTAATTAGGGTTAGGACATGGAGCCACGGAATATGTTTAAGCTGGATATACACTATTTTGGTTTTAGGTTCCACCAAGTGAAGCGCCAGTCTGTCTGGGGTTTTTTATTTTTGTTTACCACAGCATACACAGTATTAACAATCTGATCCTTGTCCTAGATAAACCCTGTCGTCGCGTTACTGGTGGATTGTTCTCGAGATTTATTCTGTTTTTGCCCAGGAAAGTCATCGATATCAGTATAGTCTGGACTGCCAGGAGAACGTTTGGTTGGACTAGAATTGGCGGCGACTGAGTCGGTACTAATATACAATCATTCTCGAGGTATATCATATCTTTCGGTGGTTTGGTAGCTTTCTGGGGGCCATTATTGGGATTATTCTGGGGATATTGGGGATCTCCATCGGTGCTAACATGCATATGGTTTCCATTCTAGTATGTTCGTCACGATGTGTGTTCACGTAGTTAGTATCTTCATTGTCTCTAAAAGATGGGTTGTTTGTATTCTCTCGTCTTTTCACTAAGCTGGAAAAAAATAACTTAAAGTCAATACGTACAAAATGAACAAGTGGTTGCCAAGCAAGATACGCCCACATTTTCCCAGAGATGGACAGAGAACGAGCTTAAAAAATAATGGGATTTTTTGTACAATCAGGGGCCATTTTGTTGAACAATTTCATTTCATTTTTCCCGAAATTCGAATTCATTCTTAATTATGGTGGAATGGTGATATATTTAAACGGTTTTTAAAATCGGAACAAAATTATGACCTCTAGAGAATCCGCAAGCTAAAAATGCGATTTTTCGAACAATCAGGGGCCATAATCCAGGAAGTTACGTTCGGATATGCGTCATTATCAAACGGAACCTTGTTAAATCGGATAAAAATTGTGACGGCCAATTTTGTACAATCAAGGGTCATAATTCAGGAATTGACGATCCGATATGCGCAAATATCGAAAGGAACCAAGATCTGTGGGTTATAAACATATATTTCAAGTTCCATCAAAATCGGATTAAAATTGTGACCTCTAGGGGTTTGTTTTAAACTATAATAGAAATAGAAAAAGTAATTAGTTAAGTTTACCTCCCAAAGAAATTATAAATCATATAAACAATTGTACATACGATCATTAAGAATATCTTCTTCTGTACTTACCACACAATAACGACAATAACTAGAATTACTAACAGACATGCACCACCAGCAGCTCCACCAATTATAACATCTTCCACAAAAACTAGTGTTATTGAACATCAAATAAATATTAGGGGACTATCAAGGACAGTGAAACGAAATGCAAATATTTAGCGGATCGGAGCACATAGGGGAGAGGGTGTAAGTTGATCCTCGGGGTAACGTGAGCCACACCCTTCCGAACCTGCATGAGTAAAAATCCACAAATGGTGGTGCCATCTATTAAATAAATAATAGTTATTGTTGTTAAGGAAATCCTTTCACCAAGAACAAAAGAGCTACCTACAAAAATCAAAATATTTACCCTCAAAGCGATTTTATTGAAAACATGTGTCTTGTTTCCAATTTCATTAACCGGTAGACTTCCCCGTGAAACAAATTGACAAAATATGATAACTACAGGTTGTAATTCTAGCATGTTGGCTTGGTTTGGTCTTGAGGTGTGAAGATGCTGAGGTCTACTTTATTATTTGTTTTATCATGTACTAGCAGGATACCCGGCTTCGCTCGGGGGTCATAACTCCGAAACCGGATATGGTAGACTAACGCCACCTGGCTTATGTTACTCCCCGTTCCGAACTACCCCTACACCCCATATTTCAGACTCGGGGCATATGTAGCCGCCAACCCCGAACAGACAGACTCAGAAACCGGAAGTGGTAGACTAAGGCCACCTGGCCTATGTTACTCCCCAGTCCGAGATACCCCTATACCCCAAATTTCAGACTCGGGGCAGACCTAGTGTAGCCGCCAACCCCGAACAGACCGGCTTTGCTCAGGTGTCATAACTCCGAAACTGGAAGTGGTAGACTAACGCCACCTGGCCTACGTTACCGGTCCGAGCTACCCCTATACCCCAAATTTCAGACTCGGGGCAGACCTAGTGTAGCCGCCAACCCCGAACAGACAGACAGACAGACAAACGACAGTCACAAATATATATATAGAAGATGATACATCAGCTGTAACATAGGTGTTTGAGGGGTCATCACATTTGGCTTCATCTACCCCGATCGGTTACTTCGAGGATATGACTCTCCGTTTCAAGGTCTCACGCTTTATTTATCACTGACAGACTTTAAATTAGGTTTGATGCAGTTGCATTCATTTGTGTGGAATAATACTAAGTTCTGTCCCCACATGCTCAATGCCCCACTATTGATGATCCGGAGCTGGGCAAGTTGAACCATAACATATCTTACCCAGTTGATTAATCTGATGTTTGTATGTGGTATTCAAATCCATTATTAGGCCTTTAACCATGCGTTCGTTTTCAATATTTTGAATAAACTGATTAACGATAATTCAGTG